TTGGCAGTGTATGGTCTTCATTGGTTCTTCATTGGCAGTTTATGGTCTTCATTGGTTCGCAGGCAGCCAATGAAGACCATACGCTGGCATTATGCAACTTTATTTCAAGTCTATGTAGGTTCGAGCAGGAAATAATTCTGGAATTACTCACTACTCGTTTCTTGCACTTCAAAATCGGTTAATTTATCATGCGCTATTATCTTTACAATTTGACCTTTTACATTCTATATGAAAGGTAATTATTGAAAAAGCATAGGATCACTTTAAAATATGTCTCTTATCTTCCACTTTTTTTGTTTTAGGTTGATTGAATCCAGTCTGGGCAGTGTAGCCACAAAGTTTAATTTCTTCATCCATAATCTGGCCCAGTTGCGTTTCAGTGGCCTTCCCTCCAATGATGAGCCCATCCTCTCGTTCGCTCCCCGCACATACACTATAAAGCAGGACGGGAGGATCCGGGATGCGTCCGTATTTTCATATCACAAGAGATACAATCCAGACAAGCACTATGTAAGTGATTTTATAAAGCAGTTGTCTGTTTTTTAGCCTTGATTACCTCTTTGTATGATGTTAGGAAGGAGAAAATCAATTTTTATCTTAAAGAACACCTGTTTTTTCACACCTCTTTTTTTCAGACGTATGTCATACGTATCCTTAGGGAAGGTCAAAATGAGCCTCAGTTTGTCTTCCGCACATTTGATGAGTTCCAGGAACTGCACAACAAGCTGACCATCCTTTTCCCTCTCTGGAAGCTGCCGGGGTATATGAATCTTCCTCTTGTACCGTGGTTCAAATCCTGCATTTCATTGTTCCTAAGAATCTTTTTCCTGTTTCAAGATTTCCTAATAAAATGGTGCTGGGACGCACACACATCAAGGATGTGGCATCCAAGAGGAAGGTGGAATTGAGCAGCTATGTGCACAATCTGATGAGGAGTTCAACAGAGGTCACTCAGGTGAACAGTTGTTGCTTTTAAAAGATTATCAAATATCATTTTAGGGTTTTATTTTTTAATCTTTGGGAGTGTTGAGGAGTCAACTGATTATTTCACTCAAAAAATACATTGCTCAACAATCTGAATTGAGAATTAAATTCCACTCACCAAGGCTGCATTTATTTGATCAAAAAACAGTAATATAGTGAAATATTATTATTATTCTTAAATTGCTTTGTTTTTGTGGAAACTGTAATACTTTTTCTTAGGATTCTTTGTTTAATAGTTACAAATTAAAGGTCTTGACCGTCACTTTTGATCAAATTATAAGTCATTTCTTTACAGTCCTACTATTTCCTGTGAAAATATTTTTCATTCCTTAAATTACTTACTGTCACCAAATGTTTCAATGGTTTTTTAAATTAATGTTTTTTTTTTCTAGTGTGATCTTATCTACACCTTCTTCCACCCTATCGCGAGAGATGATAAGATCGAGGGGGTTGATGGACTCTCAAAAACTCCAGGTATGTGTACATGAGCGTACAAGTTACTTTCACTGGTTTCATATATTTGGTACAACATAATTAGTTTTCATGTATTTGATGTTGTTTTTCCAGACATGCTTCCAGTGAGTCCCACCAGTGGCCGCGTGGAGGGTGAGGTGAAGCTGTCAGTGTCCTACCGAAACAGTACGCTCTTCATCATGGTCATGCACATCAAAGACCTGGTAAGAACTGACGATAGCGTCTGTCTTCAAACTGATCCCGGATCCTGTGCATTCTCAAATCTCATCTGTCCTTCTCCCAAACACAGATGTCAAATGATGGAGCAGACCCAAACCCATATGTGAAAACCTACCTTCTCCCAGACCCCCACAAAACCTCCAAACGCAAAACAAAGATCGCGAGGAAGACTAGGAACCCGACGTTTAATGAAATGGTAAGCTAGTCCTACCTGTCTGATCATAACGCCATAACGCTAAAGCTAATAAACTACTCCCTTCTCTCTTTAATTGTAGCTGGTATACAGCGGCTACAGTAAGGAAACCCTGAAGCAAAGGGAACTTCAACTGGGCGTGCTCAGTGCAGAGTCTCTGCGAGAGAACTGCTATTTGGGGGGCATTACCCTCAGCCTTAAGGACTTTGACCTGAGCAGAGAGACCGTCAAGTGGTACAAGCTCACCATGGTGCCCTACTTCTAGATACAACCAGCCCTCTCCACCATTCGTCCACAAAAGGTGATGTGACTGAAGCAAGTGCCCTTACAGGACAACTCCATTCCCCCAGCATCCCTCTCTCTCTCTCACTGACAATAATCAAGGTTGAGTCCTTGTTAAATACGTGTTCTGTACATTTGGAACTTAAGAGGACCAAACGGCTCGCTTAAAGAAGAGTTTATATTATTAATTCTATTATCTATTTTATTTATATATATATATATATATATATATATATATGAAGAGTTCAGATGCAAAAGCCTCTAAATGCCTTCTAGAATGATCATTTTTATCAAGCTTGTATATTTAAGTTCAGTAATTTCACTTAAATAACAATTAATAGGTAATCATCATTGCCATTTAAGTGAAATTACTGAACTTAAATATACAAGCTTGATAAAAATGATCATTCTAGAAGAAAATTCCAAATGGCACTTAGAGGCTTTTGCATCTGAACTCTTCATATATATATATTAAATATACATAGAGAGATTGACACTTGTATTTTTAAAACTGCTTATTTTTTACACTTTTCTTTTCTACATATACAAATAAGGAACATTAAATGTCTGTAAGGTTTTGAGTTATCAAAACAAGTACAGCAGAGTTCACTGTGCTTTTGATAACATGCCAAATGAACTGAACAAACTCGAGACCACTTCCCTTTAGGGAACAATAACAGGGTGCCTTCACATGCTCTCCTTTCATTTTTGCTTTTCTCACTACTTGTTTGGTTAAAAAAGCCCTGTTTTGTAAGAAAATGCACCAATGAATTTGTATATTGAACTGTCTTTGAAAAGGGAATGGCACCTGTGGCTCAAAGCTACTGCCTGAACTCAGCTGAATCATAATCTATGAGTTTACCAGCAGGCGTTTTTAAAATTATGTACATTGATGTTCAAGATTGTCATTACTCCCTCCGCAAATACAGTAGTGATTTGATTCGCTGTGTATGACTGTTAAAAATACATTTTGAATGGATATTAACACGGCCAGTTATTTATTGGTTATCTTTAACCTGACCGAATCAATGTTTTCTGTAATCTCTCTCTTAAGAAAAATTAAATGTTTTTGAACACCTCTCTGTGTGATTTATTTGTTCTGAAGTTATACTTAACCAGCAGGGGGCAGTCAATAAACACTAAACCGTTTAAATATTATATAATTTGTATAATATAAATTATTATTATATAATCACTTCATTCATGAGTGTTCATTGTCATGAAGAAATTTCCTGGCTTTACCTTTTTACATTAACTTCTATCCAGTTTTCATGTTTCACATTCATATTTTCATATAGTTGAAACAATTTGCACTGTGAGTGCACAAGTTAAAATTATATATTATATTAATGGAAGACAAAAGATGATATATTTGAAGAAACCGTTCTGGTGACCACTGATGTCCATTGTATGCTTTTGTAATTTTTGTTATTTATATTTACTTATTTTTTAGTACTTCAGATTTGCCAAAATAACTTTTTTGTAAATTTAGTTTTACCATAACATTTGCTTTAAGTTTCTTTTTAAATCTGTTTACTTGAATTTAGTTCTTAAAGTTTATTTCTTTATTTCAATTTACAATTTAAGTGATTTTTAATATTTATTTTTTTTGGTTTAAAATAACAACACTAATGATATATGGCTCGAGCTGCCATTGAAGATCACATCTTAAAGGGATTGTTGCCCAAAAAAATGAAAGTTTTGTCATTTGCTAAACCTGTAAGACTTTTTCTTCTGTGGACAAAAAAAAAATAATTTAACATGTCTCAGTGTTTTTGTCCATACAATGGACCTCAATGGTCATCAAAACGGTTTCTTCTTTTGTCTTCCTAGAAGACTGTGATACACAGGTTTAAAACAACACTGAGTAAATAATGACAAGGTGAACTGTCCTTTTAAAGCTTTGACCCTCACACACACACATGATTTCTGCTGGGGTGTACGTGTGATCTTATGTTGGGAAAATTTCTTAAAAAGCCCTGACCTCAGATCTGCCAGTATTTATGTACCGCCTCATTAAATGGGCTGTTGCCGTGAAAAAGCTTCTGGAGACAAACAGAAACACGGTCAGGCCAGTACACACTGCACACATTTGCTTTGCCTCCAGGCCAGGGTGAGAGCTTAATGATCAAGTAAGCATGAATTAACACTGGGTTTTGCTCCTTGACAGTTCACACAGGGCTATGGTAACTATAACATCAACAATTCAATAGCCTACACTTTAATTTATTTAGCTAATAAAATTATTAAGCCTATTTGAAGAGAGAGATGTTTATAATGTGAAAATATGTCAGTCATCTTGTGATAAGGAAAATATGACTAGACTACTTGTTCTGAGGAAGTGTTGTCAGTGAACAGGCTGTAAAACTGTTGGCTAAGTTATTAGATAGATAGATAGATAGATAGATAGATAGATAGATAGATAGATAGATAGATAGATAGATAGATAGATAGATAGATAGATAGATAGATAGATAGATAGATAGATAGATGTTAGATAGATAGATAGATAGATAGATAGATAGATAGATAGATAGATAGATAGATAGATAGATAGATAGATAGATAGATAGATAGATAGATAGATAGATAGATGCGACGTTACTTGTCATTTCTTTGTATTTGTGAAATTTACTAGCAATTTCTGGGGAGAAATTGTTCCAAAGTAAACCCTACAAAAATATATTTTTTTCAGTGTACAACAAACTTTTAAAAACAGTTACTTGTAGTTGGTTAGACTTCGAGTGCCATATACTCTTTATTTTACTGTCTATATACTGTACTACCTCTGGTCTCCAGCAGCAATGCAGTGCAATGTCCTTGGGGGCGCTATAAACAACACATGCAGAGCACAGCACACAAGTTCAAGTAACGTACCCAGTCAGTGTGCGTTTGTCTTCCTCCAAGTCACCTGTTCTTCCAGCAATGGCCCTCTTGAAATCCAGCAAGATTTTGACTAATGTCGGGGCTCAGGCCCCTGTTTTAGCAGTCTTACAGCTCCGTGCAAGGTAATGTGAGGCTTTATTTTTCTTGTGCAAAGACTCTGTTGATAAGTTAGCTTGTGCTAGCTAGTTAGCGGACTGGCTAGCAGCACCACTGAAATGTACAGAACGCCACTCTAATGTAACACACGGGACTTTAACCTTGTGATTATAATTCAACATAGCTATTAATGCTTTTGATATTTACCGAGTGTTTTTTTTTGTCTTTCAACATGAAATTTTATTTTAATTTCATATTTGACGATTGACAAATAAGTTTAATATAATAACACTAGGGCTTTGACAAGCGAGAGTTCATGAGATCAACACAGGCGAGATTTTGACATTACAGTAGTGATATGTCAGGTTCAGCCAGGCCTATCTTGCTACTGTCTGACACAAGGTTATATTTTCTGTCTATTTAATGGCATTATCATGATTGAGATGAAAAAACATCCTCCCTATAAAAACTTATTTTATTTGAATGCTGTTTCTGTTAAAGTATTAAAGTGCACAGCTGCCTCATTTTTTTTTTACTGCAAAACGTTTTCACTTCTCAATTTAATTTTTTTATTTTATCTACTTGTGTTTTATTCGCTCTTTATTGTTTATTTATTAATGTGTCTGCTAGGAGGGCACTTAAAATGTTTAGGAACTTAATTCATATATCTTATTTTTTTTACTTGGCTTTTCATTTTTCTTTTTTGTTATTTGTCTGTCAGCTTTGGGGTTACTTAATTATATGCTATATAAATGATCTGCTACTTGAGTAGGAACATAATGAGCATGTAATGCCTTTATGCCTACTTCCTCAAACTAGGCTAATCAATACAGTCTGCGCTGAAGTCTCTGAGGTCAGAGATAGGAATGCTTCCACATAAAACCCCATATGATCTGTACATTATTTTCATTAATTAATGGTCTTGGGTTTTGCTTGTTATTGAGGATAAAAAAGCCATACCAACCAAATGCAACCAAAAGTAGCAGTACAGCAACAATGCACATACTATTTTTTTTTTATTGTAGTTTTAGTTGCTGATTGGTACAAATGACTGACATTCAGAGCTGGGTTGAAAAGGGCAGTATGTGAGTCTGACACATGATTGGTTCTGATGCAGAGGGTGGGGTGTTGTTCACCTCATTTCATTGGATTACCACACTTTAAGTGGGTGGGGTTTAGATTTTACACCGGTAATTACAGAGAGGACCTGTTTGTCTGGGCAAACTATCAGAATCTTTATTTAGACGGGCATGGCCATTCTGAAACTGTGTGCCAAGCATCCATCAGAACAAATACAGCCATGCAATGTGCTTAATCTTGGAGTTTAAATATTCCTCCACTGTTAACGTTCATACATAAAGTCTCATTTGTGGAGTATAGCAGTCTAGTTCAAGCTGTTAATAACTTAGCAAGAACTAAAGCTCTGGAATGATAATCAGCTTGATAAACGTATCCGTCTTGGAGAATTTTTAATGAGATGTTCAAAGAATGGGTAGATTCTTATATTTTCCCTAATATATGCGGAGTAGTTTTCGGGCCAGTGAAAAGTGAAATGTTTGAGTTTCAGTCTTCTGCACTGCTCTAAATTGTTTCGAGTTCACTGCTATAAAAGTGTCTGGCCTGACTTCCAAAAGTATTTAAAAAGTAAACAATTTAACTATTAATATCAATTTTCCTGACAACACACAGTCATAACATTTTGCCTGGAGCTGTGTACGGTCACTCGATAGTTAAGCTAAAAGAATTTTCTTTTTCACAGCTCATGGTGGACTGAGGTACAGATGGGACCCCCTGATCCCATCCTGGGTGTCACGGAGGCGTTCAAGCGTGACACCAACCCCAAAAAGATGAACCTTGGAGTGGGAGCTTATAGAGACGATCAGGGCAAGCCGTATGTCCTCAACTGTGTTCGAAAGGTTTGTCATAACGTAGCAATTGGCATACTGATATGATTATGCAATGATCTTGTTAGATTTCCCTGAATCACCCTGGCTTGTTTTATCTTTTAAAATGCTTTTTGTTGTATAGCTGACCTGCATTTAAAACAGCAATCCATAATTCTATCCACTTCCAATCAGCCAAATAAAGTTTTAATATTCTAATTCCTGCACAAAGCAAATGACAGAATTTGGTATTGTCAGGCTGAGGCCGAGATTGCTGCTAAGAAGTTGGATAAAGAGTACCTTGGTATTGGAGGGTTGGCAGACTTTTCAAAGGCCTGCGCTCAGCTGGCTCTTGGACCTGATAATGAAGTCTTAAAGAGCGGAAGAGTGAGTACTTAAAAACAATGTATTTTAAAAGGAAGTCTATTAGATGCGAGTATTAATTCCCAGTTCTTTTTGCACGCAGAGCATCACTGTCCAGACGATCTCGGGAACTGGATCTCTGCGTATTGGTGCTAACTTTTTGGTATGTGCTTTTTTAATGATTTCATAATATATTTGTTTTGTTTTATATGCGTCTTTCATAGAGCACAGCAGAGATGACCCATCCTATTCATTCGTAACCTTTAGAAACAAATACTAAGTCTGATTTAAAAATAATATTTTATTTACTTGACACATTTTACACTAGCATTTAAAAGTCTGGAGTTGGTAAGATTTTTTTTTTCTCTTCTGTTCACCAAGGCTGTATTTATTTATTAGTAATTAAAAAAAAAATTATTTATTTATTAGTAATTTTATTGATTAATTAATTAATATAGTAAAATCAGTAATACCGTGAAATATTTTTACAATAGAAAATAAATGTTTTCTATTCTATACATTTTAAAATGTAATTTATTCATGTAATGGAAAGCTGAATGAAGCTTCAGAAATCATTAATATGCTGATTTGGTGCCCAAGAATCATTTGTTATTATTGTCACAGTTGAAAACAGTTGTGCTGCTTAATATTTTCGTGTAAACTACTTAAACATTTTGTTAGGGATTTCTTTTTTTTAATATTAAATTTACTGTTACTCTATTTTGATTAATATCATACATGAAATGATATGGAAAAAAAAGACTAACCCCAAACTCTTGAACGGTAGTGTATATTGTATTTCTATTTGTTTTTGATTTATTTATCTCATTCCCAATGCTTCATGGGATGAGTTGTTCACCGCTTCATCAAAGAATTGAAGGGCACAGTCTTGTAGCTGATAGTTTTTCATTCTTTCATATATTTTTGTGCTTTTAATTTGAGTTTGTAATGCGATGTTAGGCCTGATTGTTTTTGTTAACCAAGGCTACTAAAAAAGTGGGTTGTCACTGTTGATTATTTTTATTTCTGGTTATTGGTTGTAAAGGTAGTTCAAATAACAAGTACTCGCATCACTTCTTCTTGGCTAGTCACGATTCCATAACGCATCCCGGGACGTGTACCTGCCTAAACCCTCCTGGGGAAACCACACCCCTATCTTCAGAGATGCGGGCATGCAGCTAAATGCTTACACCTACTATGACCCTAAAACCATTGGCTTTGACCTTAAAGGAGCCTTGGATGATATTTCAGTAAGACTTTTTTAATATCTTGTGCTTTATTGATATATCTATATTTGGGGGAAATGAAAATCAGATTTATATGTATTTATTTATTTCTCTTTCAGAAAATCCCTGAGAAGAGTGTGATTGTTCTGCATGCGTGCGCTCATAATCCCACCGGAGTGGACCCAAGGCCTGAGCAGTGGAAAGAGATGGCTGCTCTGATCAAGGTAACTGGTTTTGCTGTTAAATTGAAGTCCAAAATCAAGCTGACTGCAGGTCTCAGAAAAGCTACTTATTGAAGTGACAGAAACATATGGTTGGAATGAAATCCTTATCTTTATGTTTGACCATTTGGATCGATAAAAGAATGACCGTCCTCAGTCTCAAATGAATGACTATTTCAGTTATAATACTATTTTTCACTCTCATTTCAATAGAAAAGAAATCTCCTGGTGTTCTTTGACATGGCTTACCAAGGATTTGCCAGTGGTGACATCGATCGTGACGCTTGGGCTGTGCGGTATTTCATTGAGCAGGGGCACAACATTCTTCTGTCCCAGTCTTTTGCAAAGAACATGGGCCTTTATGGTGAGCATCAAAAATATTGTTAAAACAAATCCTTGCTAATTGCTTGTTGTATCGCACTTATATAAAAGTGAATAATTACCTAATTCAAAAGTCTAGCTGAAGGCTCAATTTTTGTTTGATCAAAAATACAACTAAAAGAACTGTAAATAAAATTAAAAGAACTGTTTTCTGTTTAATTATATTTTAAAATGTAATTTATTTCTGTGAAGACTAAGCTAAATTTCCTGCATCATTACACCAGTCTTTAGTCATGATCCTTCATAAATAATTCTAATATGCTGCTCAAGAAACATTATTATTGTTATCAATGATAAAAAACAGTAAATTTTTTGTGGGGAAAAAAACAGCATGTATTTGAAATAGAAATCATTTGTACCATTATAAATGCCTTTCCTGTCACTTTTGATCAATTGAATGCATCCTTGCTGAAAGAAAGTATTCATTTCTTATAAATTAAGTGTAATCTCACTTGTTTTTAACTTGTTTATCCTTAAAGCTACACTGTGTGATTTTTACCCCCATCTAGCGGTGAAAAGGTATATGACCATCCAGTGAATATCAGTTTCTGTTCCTCTCAATTCCGATTTTGTTTTAACTCCTACGGTGGCCAATGTAGTCCAAGATTAACATGGCTTCCAGTTCGACCTCGTCCATGAGTGTTAACTCAAACGTAAACGCGAAAGGCGAAGCTTGAATTAAAGGGTGTGTCCCTCTTTGGCTAATGTACTTTCAAGATGGAGGGGCAACATGGCGACCGACATTATACCCCTTACCCGTATGTATTTTCAATGGCATATTATACACTCACGAGAATACTTTATTACTTGAGCGAAGTAAATATACATTAATGAGCACATATATTTTTGAAGGAACTAAGTGTTTTTAGCTAAGAATAAACTAAAAGAGTTACACAGTGTAGCTTTAAACAAGTGAAAAACTCTCCCACTACAGTAAGAGACATGCACTGTACAGATATATTCTTGAGTCAATTCATCATTCAAGGATTTGTGTTCTATATGGAAAATTAGACAAAATATTTGTGGAGAATTGTTAGATTTTAACTCTGTACCTTTGCGTCTTCAGGTGAGCGTGTAGGGGGCTTCACGGTGGTGTGTAAGGATGCTGAAGAGGCGAAGCGTGTGGAATCCCAGCTGAAAATTCTCATTCGACCCATCTACTCCAACCCACCCATGAATGGAGCTCGCATCGCCTCCACTATCCTCAACACACCCGAACTCTACAAAGAATGGTGAGTCCTGTGATTAATCACCGTCATGAACACAGCCAATGAGAACTGAGCTCTTCAGACTGTTTTTCTGGTAGGCTCGCGGAGGTGAAAGACATGGCCGACCGTATCATTAGGATGAGAGAGATGCTTGTTTCAAACATTAAGAAGGAGGGCTCCACTCACAACTGGCAGCATGTCACTGACCAGATCGGAATGTTCTGCTTCACGGGACTCAAACCGGAGCAGGTAAGTCAAGACAAAGTGCGTTCTGGGTATCTCTGATAAGGCCTCACACTTTTCTCATTGGCTTTTCTCTGCTTGTCTTCTTTGTCAGGTGGAGCGTCTGATTAAAGAATTCTCTATATACATGACAAAAGATGGCCGGATCTCCGTTGCTGGTGTGACGTCTGCAAACGTGGAATATCTAGCACACTCCATCCACGCTGTCACCAAGTGAAGCTGGCAGCAGACAGAGAGCAAGCAAAATGTAATTTAGATGAAATAAAGTCCTTTGCTGCCTGTCTTATGGAACAAGATATGAAATAGAACTATTGTAGACTTCTAGTTCACTTAATTTGGAATTATACATGAAAAGGGATAGTTCACCCAAAAATTAAAGCTCTGTCATCAATCACTCACCCTCATGTTGTTCCAAACACAAGACCTTTGTTCATCTTTGGAACACAAATTAATCTTACGGGTTTGGAATTATATGAAATTATTAATGACAGAATTTTCATTTTTGGGTGAACTATCCCTTTAATTTATGACTATGAATGTAAGCCCCTGAATAAATTAAGGCAGAATAATAAAAACAACCTTTAAAGGATATCGCTTATCAGTGCTGGTACAGGAAATCATGATAAGAATGTTTTTATGGTCCAAAATATGCTGATATATCAATTAACAACATGTTTGAAGTTAGAGAAATAGCTGAAAGGAGTAAACAATTTCATGTTTGGACATTAATTGTAAAATCTTTTTAGGACTAAGTCTTTATTGTGGCAATAACTAGCTAACTGATGATTTGGCAATGAATGCATCGAAAGCAGTTACTTGTTCTTCTGAGACACCTTTGTAATGATTAGGCACTTACTCTATATCGAGGTCTTTCTTCTACTAGTGAAGAAAGATTACACTACTACACGTGTTCTTGCGGAATTTATTATAAATTCATATTGCTATTCTGTGTAATAGTCCGAGATATATCACACATAAAAAAATCATTTCATAAATCATTAGGAATTCACACATCCTAGCTGACCATTAAACTGGATCTGATTTGTCCAAAAATGTTTGTGCATCTGTAGCAAAATCGAATAAGTCATCCATTTTATAATAAAAACCAGCTTTAAAACATATATTGTAACTTAATATTTCAGTGGTTAAAAGCTTTGGGTGTTTAATCCTGTGTGTGTGATGTAAACACGCACTTTGTAAGGATAATTCTGTTTTGAAAAACTGTTAAATATATATAAATATATATATATATATGTATAACTGATTATTGAGTTGCTAAAGTAAATTAAGCGATTTATGAAATGTCCGAAGTTCTTCATCGAAAATGAAATGTCACGAGTGACTGCATGTACAATAACAAATTAATAAAAGTGAGCTCAACGAAAACTCACGTGGTTGATTTGTTTAGTGATGCTTGTGTTGAAAACATTTTGTGGGTCATATGATCTTATTGTATTATAAAGCTAATTTAAATAAGTCGTTATGGTGAAGCGGCCGGCTCGAGATACGGGAACGTGACGGTGGTGACACGCGCAGACAGGTGATTCTCTGATCACGTGACTATAGACTCTTCTGTCATCAAGCTGTCATCGATTCTATTATCTCGGGCAGCCTGAACAGAAAATTAATTTAGCGTTCTCGAATAAATTGACAATATGAGTCGTGCATTTAAAAACTGTTCAAACTTAATGGTCACCGGAGCCAGTCGAGGCCTCGGACTGCAGATAGTTGAGAGTCTAGTAACGGGAGGCTTCTCTCCCGGGAAGATTATCGCTACTGCTCGGGATCCAGATGGAGCCAAGGTAATTCCGTGAGCAGAGAGTGTAGTATTTGCATTAGGCCTACTAAACAGTAGAAACCAGCCCCAGATTATTTACAGTCATCTTTTTAGGTGCATGGGTAATGTGCACATGCGCAGTTAACAAGTACGAACGACAACAGCAATGTATGAAGAGAGTGGGGAGTCGGAAGGATTTTTAGTGTGATAATCATTTAAAAGTACATACATTTATGTATAGTTTAAAATTAAGTCCTAAAAGCAGCAAATGTATATATATATAATATATAATATATATAATATATTCTGATATTTTAAAATAGGCTACCTATTTGTTTTATAGGAATTGCAAAGATTGGCTGACGAGTATCAAAACATACACATTATTAAACTGGGTAAGTACATTAAAACTAAAAGGAGTGTCTAGTCTAGATTTTATATTGTCCCTGATTTTATATTGAACATTAGGTGGCGACCTAACACAATACAATTCTTTATATATATATATATAAAACAAAGGATGAAATTATTAATATTACCAATAACTACCATGAGAATGTTTGCCTTGAACTATGTAATGTAGTTGGGGTACGGTCAAATTTTCTTTTACCTTACATTATTTTGTTAATGGTTTGATAAGGGCCTGTTGCAGGTTGATTACTGCATTTTGCATTGTATTTCTCCCTACTGTGGAGGGAAACATGCAGCCCATTTTGACTGACACCAGTTATGAACCACTTATCTAGAAGAAGCTGTATTTAAAAATAAGAGTTTGTTTCCCTGACTCTTGCATTAATCGTGGATGTCTCTGTTACTAGATGTCATCAGTCAAGAGAGCATAGAAAGAGCTGCATCTGAGGTGGAACAGCTAGTTCAAGAGGAGGGTCTCAACTGTCTCATCAACAATGCTGGAATTAATGTGGTAGCAAACCTAGAGACAGTCACTGCAGACAAGATGTTGGAAAACTTCCATACCAACTCTGTTGCACCGTTGATGATCACCAAGGTTTCGTTTCTTTTAAAAATCTTGACACAATATATGCACATATCTATCTGACCTACTGATCGCACTTGTCATGCAGGCCATGCTTCCACTGCTGAAGCGAGCAGCTGCAAAGGGAACCGGGATGGGCATCCACAGAGCAGCAGTCATCAATATGACATCACTGCTGGGTTCAGTTGAGCTCTACTGGGGTGATCGTGCCAACACTTTCAAATGGTATCCCTACAGAACATCAAAGGTTTGTGAGATTGTGTTTTTGGAGTTCAATGCTAAGGTAAAAGTTTTAAAGTCAGCATGAAACAAAAGTTGGGTTGCACATTTTTTCTTTTACAGTACATGCATTTACGCATTTATTGCCTAAGAAAGTACTAGTAATAACGTATCTACATGGGTTAGAGGTAGGCCGGGTTAGTACCTAGTAATTGTAATTGCTATAATAAGTACATAGTATGTACATGAGGAACAGGACTGTAAAATAAAGTTCTACCAAAAGTTGCGATAGTCTTCTTTACTTTCCTTTATTGTGACTTCTCGAACTAGAAAAAACGTGGGGCAAGACTTTAAATCCAGTGTGAGTGACAGGATGTCCCGCCCTCGCACCGATAACAGAAGTCGATGCAAGAGGAGGGGGAAATTATTTTGATTAAAGATTACAAAGGCACATAAATGTAGATGAAATTATGATGGGCATGGATAAATTATTTATTATAAATACTGCTATATTCCATTTAAAGGGGTCATGAACTGGCTTTTTAAATTTTATTATATTGTTGTCTGAGGTCAACTTATAACGTTTGCTTGATTTTTGCATTCAAAAACATCAAAATGAATAAGTAATAGGCTATTTTGTACCCAAGTTTTGAGCCTAGCTGAAAAACGCTCCGTTTTTATGGGCGTCTCTCACTGAAGACTTGGAAGTAAACGCCCACTGCTGTGAGTGGATAACAGTTTTGCATATTATAATGAGTTTCAACTCACCCGTCGATGCACTTGGGGGAAATTGTTTTGAAAACGTCCAATGTTGTAAAATGGCAACCGGAATGATTCGCCCATACATGTTCGACCCAGAGTCCGTGTGTTGCACAATTCCGGCGGCACAGCACCGTTCTTTACTCTTAATCTGTCTGTAAATCCAGTCTCGTTTACAAAACAATCCTCAGTGAAATGAAGCGAACAGATGGACAATGTTTTAGCTCATCAGCTGGAACGTCATTAAAAATAACGTTTATCCATGCAGTCCTATTGGAATCCAGAGGAAGCTCATGCAGCGACTGTCTTCTTCCACAACCAGGCGCTACACAATATTTTGAATTGCTCGGTAGCTCGATCCGGTTTGTCTTCACGAGGTAGGGCTATGTTATTTAGCTATGAATCGGTGGGCGGGGCTAAACCGGCCGTGTTGAAGTAGGCGTTGATCTTCTCCTGCGGGGGTGGTGTTTTATCCTCTTTGACGTCATAGTTCCCCACTTTCGTTTGCTGAGGCTGGTGTCAATAAAAGCTTTTATTGGACTAACAAGGACGTTTTCAGTTCTGAAACTTACAGGATATTCTTATAATATAATGACCTCTTAGATTAAAAAAAAAAAAAAACTTGCCCATTTGAATATACAGTAAATGTCTTTCAAATGCACGAACGTTTGATTCCTTTGTTTTACATATCGAAGGATATGATAATATGTTTATGAACGTATCGGCTGAGATACTGAGTTGTATTTTTTTACTTAGGCGCGCCGAAAGAACACCATAGACATCTATGTAAATCACTTTGAATTACCATAGTGAATGAAATGTGCTATATAAATAAACTCGCCTAACCGTGTGTCAGAGTGCACTGAACATGGTCACCAGATGCTTGGCAGTGGACCTGGAGGCAGACGGGATCCTGTGTATGGCTCTGCATCCAGGCTGGGTGCGCACCGATATGGGTGGACCTGAAGTGAGTCTCGATCTGCTTTTCATTACTGCTGTCTGTCATTGTGCCAGCCGAATTTAAAAGAAGTGATAAACTCTTGTGGTGTGTTCATTGTTTTCTATGCAGGCACCATTGAGCCCCGAAGAAAGCATTTCCTCTGTATTGTCTGTGATTGGTGGTTTGGCTGAAAAGGATCATGGGTCATTTCTTCACTATACTGGTGAACAACTTCCCTGGTGATGTTTTTTAGATGCGTGCAATAGAAGCTGTGTTTTAGTTTTGCTGCATATGTATTTATTTACATATTTAATAAATTCTTGTTCAGAGAATTTTTTTTATCTTCCTTGCTTATGAAAAGTTACTTAATATTTTGAATGTTGTGGATAGACAGCGAATGCGACACTTACTCTTGTTAACCTGCAACTACCAGACACAATTCTGAATGCAGCAGGGTTTTTGTTATTAGTCCTCGGAAAAAGACAAAAAGCTATTTAATGTTAATGTTTTGCAACATAAAATGTGTTGTTGAATGGTTTTCATATTAAAGATTGTATTTACATTGAATAAGTGTTTTTGTTCTCATTTATAAATATCATAAATCTGCACATGTATGAATAAAGCTGTATTCAGAAACATATTTAGAATTTTCTGATTTACTTTTCATAACTGGCGAAACTGTTTTTCGATTCAGCTCAGTGCTTAAAGGAGTAGTTCACTTTTTAAAAAACCTTTTGCTGATAATTTACTCACCCCCATGTCATCCAAGATGTCCATGTCATTCTTTCTTCAGTCGAAAATAAATTAAGGTTTTTGATGAAAACATTCCAGGATTTTTCTCCATATAATGGACTTCAGTGGGAAACAAATGGTTCAAGGTCCAAAAGACAGTTTCAGTGCAAACTGTTCAAAGGGCTTTAAATGATTCCAGACGATGAATAAGGGTCTTATCAAGTGAAACGATGGCTCATTTAAAGTTTAAGTTTTATAAGCTCAAACATTCGCCTTGCTCTGTTCTGTGATGCGCGTTCGTGACTCTCCTGTTCGAAGTCGTTCATCAAAATGAACAAATCTTTTTTGAGTCATTTGGTTCATTCAACGAAAAAAATGAACGAATTGACTCGTAAAAATATTCGTTCATTTTGATGAACGAGTTCGAACAGGAGAGTCACGAATGTGCATCAAAGAACAGAGCAAGGTGACCACTTGAGCTTATAAAACTTATTTTACTTCTTTTTTTTTAATGAGCGATCGTTTCGCTTGATAAGACCCTTACTCATCGTCTGAAATCGTTTAAAGCCCTCTGAAGACCTTTGCAGTTTGCACTGAAACTGTCTTTTGGACCTTAAACAGTTTGGTTCCCATTAAAGTGCATTATATAGAGAAAAATCCTGGAACGTTTTCAATAAAAACCTTAATTTCTTTTCGACTGAAGAAAGACATGGACATCTTGGATGACATGAGGGTGAGAATATTATCAGCAAAAGTTGTTTTTTAAAGTGAACTGCTCCTTCAACTTAGGTTTAGCTATTTCATTACATAGTGCATGATTTATTTTTTCATGTACATTATATTTCTGTGCGTATTATTTTTTTCTAAAAAGCAAATGGAGGTCCTCCCATTTACTGTACAACATTGACACTCTTTTTCATGAGCAATTATCTCATCTCACAAGCCTCGGCTATTTGGATACAAGCCAGTGATAAACTGGCCATTGAATTTGCATAGTGGAGTAGTAAAGAAATAGGAAATTGCCAATGAAACACGTGGTCTCCATCTTATATTTCAGCAATAGATTGGTGCTCGGAGTGCTGATGAAGCCTGTTTATTAAGAACTGAATGTACAAGTGCTCAAACAGGTTTCCTCCTGTGTTTGCTGATCACTTGTCAGGTGATCACTGTCAACCGCATTTAGATATGATACACTCCGGCAGTAGTTTATTTGTAAAATGGATCTTTTGGAGGACAATTAAAGCTTAAAAAGGTAGGCTTTGGTTCTTTATTTGTTCTTTCCTTTTTACACAGAAACCTTCAATGATCCATCTCTGTCCTTCCCTGGAAAGCATTTCAAAATAGACATGTTCTTAAATAGTGTGTATACTTTATATAGTATAATATAAGATAGTGTGTGAACAGTATATTATATATTATAAATCCGATTCTTGACACATGTATGTATAACAACTGATATCAATAAACAGCATTAGTAACTTTGTGTCCTTTATTTCCAGAGCTGTACATGGAAGACAGACATGGTTTTCTTTCCCACTTTGATTCTGTCCTTTGGAGAAATCCAACTGCTATTCTCAGAGGAAGTGGAGTATAGTATTTTGAGCATATCTGCTGTCCTTTTCCTTATAGCCTTCTGTCTTTTGACATGGCTGATTTACCGCTACTGTGCACGGTTTCCTGTTTTACAAACAGCCGGTAAGTTTTCATGCTAATTAATTGATTGACTTTTATATTTGACCTAATATTGCACAAGATTGGTATTTTATTACTATTAACAGTTGTAGTTTTAGATAAGTATTCAACATATGTAGCCTAGATGTATCCTATATAATTCATTATGTCAACATTACAGTAGAACACAAAATTTTGGGATCAGCAAGATTTCTTTGTTTTTGTTTTGTTTTTGTTTGTTTTTTTGTTTCTGAGAGAAATGAATACGATTAAGCAAAATAGATGCATTAAATTGATCAAAAGTGACAGTAAAGGCATTTATAATGTCACACATTTCAAACAAGTGATGTTCTTTTTTTAACTTATATTCAAAGAATCATGAAAAAAGTGAAAATAGTGATATTAAGAAATGTTTTTTGAGCACCAAATCAGCATATTAGGATGATTTCTGAAGGGTCATGTGACACTGAAGAGAAATTTAGCTTTGTCATCACAAGAATAAAATGCATTTCTTCTTTTTAATAAAATGCATACATTTTCATTTTTAGAATAGTTATTTTAAATTGTAATGTTACTGTTTTTACTGCATATTTGATCAAATAGATATACACACACACAGTACATGCAAAGCTAACAGGGTTTATGCAGAATATCTATCAACATCTATTTGATTCCAGTGAATATTTTGTCAGCAGATGGCCCGTCGGCTAAAAGCGGAGGTTTCCAGTATGCTACACAAACACAAAACTCTAAGGTAAGATTCATTTACATAAACCATCATTATCTTCACCACTTATACTGTGTTTGCTTCCATAGTTTCTGCTTGCTTTGACTTAGATCAAGCAAAATATATGAAAAACACATTTTTCAGATGCTTTGGTTGCCAAAAAGTATGTCTGTATTTCTAAACATTCAATAAGAGGTTATGCTAGAAAATGAGACCAGATACACACTCTGTCCATCAGACGGAGGTTCATTATGAGGAACTGAGCCACCGAGTGTCCCCTGGCACCTCTTGCACCAACCTGGGAAGTAGTTTAGACCAGGATAGCATGGCTGCTATCCTGGATGTTGAAGAGGATCACATCCAGGGATCTCTGCGATTTTCACTGTTCTATGATCAGCTGCAGTCCAGACTGGTTGTGACGGTACTGGACGCCCAAGATCTGGCTGTGCGAGACTTCAGTCACAGTGTGGACCCTTTTGTTTGGGTGAGGTTAATATGGGCAGAGAGTGAAGATGAGGAGCAGTGTCCACTGCACAGTGTGCTGGACGAGTGGCAGACGCGTCTAGTGAAGAAGAGCTCCTGTCCTGTGTTTGGAGATCAGTTCTCTTGTTCTCTGGCTGAGGAAGAAGTATCAAGAGTCACTGTTAGATTTGAGGTATGTTAACAAGCTTATTTAGCGAGGACGTGCCCATGACGCAATAATTCATTTTTAGATCATTTCTTTTAGGTTAGGGACTTTGATAAATACTCAAGACATGGAATTCTGGGAGAGGCTCGTGTTCCCCTGAACAGTCTGAAGATGTCATATCCACTGGAGTTAAGACAGGATCTGCAAGTACCCAAGAAAGTAAGTGTAATCCCAGCACAACACATTCGGAAATATGAGATGAGGAAGAACCGGTAAATTTTCTGTGCAGGATATGGTTGGTGAGGCGCTGCTCTCCCTGAAATACTTGCCCACATCTCAGAGGCTGGAGGTGGGAGTGTTGAAGATCCGTACAGTCTGTCATTCAAATAAAACTGAGAGAGGTGAGGAAAAATCAATTAAGCATTTAATTGTACAATAATGTAGATGTTGAAAAGCACTTGGAATTGAATTGTTAGTTCACCCAAAAATAAAAATCACATAATTTACTCACCATTAAACCAGTATATGTCTCTCTTCTTTCAGCCAAACACATTTGTAGTTCTATAAAAAAAAAAAAATCCTGGGTCTTCCAAGCTTTATAGTGGCTTTATAAGCTCTATGTACCATAGATTTTGAAGCCCAAAAAACACATCCATCCATCATAAAAGTAATCCATACGGCTCCGGGGGGTTAAAAAAAGGCCTTACGAAGCGGAGCGATGCGTTTTTGTAAGAACATTTTTATGTTAAAATGTATAACTTTATAACTATAATCATTGTTTCCGGTAACGGCACGGCCGAAGAGTGACCTCTTAAGTTAAAATACTTCAACTTAAACCTATTTCAGTCAGTTGCCAAGGCAAAAAACATTTTATTATTTATTTTATATAAGCTTTATTTCAATTACCGATATTTTAAAAAAAAAATAGTTTTAATAAAAGTGAAATGGCAACAATGGCAAGAGAACCAGTGTGTGATATTGATTTTATTCAACAGTTCACAAACAATATTTCACTATTGAATAACTTGCGTTTTAGACACAGTAATGCCAGTTTATGTGTTTGCTCCAACAATGAAAATCCTATAGCAGAACACAGTAGCGGTGTTTCATCCCTGACTGATTCAGTGTTTTTGAGCAAAACGTTTACATGAATCATTCAATAACTTATGAATCATAATTTTTGAATGTATCAATTCAAACATTTCATGAAGACAACAAAATCAAGGCACGTCCGAATCCAACGCTTCACTTCCTGTCTCCTTAGATACCATCTGATCGATTTTTGAAAGCCGGATAGATGCATACATCTGTCTGCCTACCATATCACAAAAAAATCCTGTGCGTTTCATTCCGTGACAGTTGAGCTATAAAGTAAATATGGCATTTAAGAGTTGTAATTGGTGGTCGGTTTGTGCGTAATAGTTTTTCCCCCCAGCAAACACAGAACGTTCCCCTAATGGTCCCATGAGGGTTTTTTTTGTGGGGGAGGGGGGGCAATCCTTACTGATTGCCTAAAATTAGGAGTTTAATATATTCCTTTATACATAATGATTTGTGAACTAACAACAAACAAACGTATGTTTGCAATTGAAACATTATTGTAAGGTGTTTGTTCGTTGTACTCCCAGCTATTTATGCCAGAATCAGCATCATCTGCAACCAGTGCAAACTTCGACATCAGAGGACAACACAGAAGATGTGCTGGGAGGTGACTGTGTTTAATGAGGTCCTGACCTTTGTGCTGCCAGATCAACATATAAGAGAGTGCTCCATTATAGTGTCCGTTTTCGAACTTCAGCCTTCAAAGAAGTCCTCCAAGCGCTTGATTGGTAACATCCACCTCAAAAAGGACAAGTCCTCCGAGAATGAGCACTGGAAGCTGATGATGCAATCACTACGACAGCCAATCGCTAAGTGGCATTTAATCCTCATCTGAATATTGACCCACATACACGCTCACATTTCCCGAGGTGGGAGGTCGAACTTCCGACTTTAGAGTGTGTTTTCAGGTTGGAGTGTGGAAACAACTTGCGCTGTCAGCCTTCACATATTAATGTACACATGCACATATTAATCAGGAAAATAATATTTTCTAATCAAATTGATACAATGTTGTCTTGTAAAAATAATTACAACCTTCTGAAAGTGACAAATAAAACAAAATTTAAAACAAATCTGTGGAAGTTAAAGGCAATGGTGAGTTGAACCAAAGCATTTAAACAAGTAATTTCCCAACAATTAAATGTGTTATATAGCCCATTTAGACATTCTCTTATGCTGACAACAATGGAACACTTGGGACAGATGTCTTTGAAGATTTATTTATTTGCACAAAAGACCAAAGCAATGTTTTAAGTGTGAAAATAATGCAAAATTAACAGAGAAATTCAAATGATTTGACAAATGATGTCCTTGAAACAATGAGGCCTTCACTTTAAGTTAAACTACAATATGTTTTTTTTTTTCTGCCGCTAGGGGTCGCTAACCTCTTACAATAACAAAGGTGGAGGTTGATGACGCATTTGCGGAATTATGGAACTTGTCATGCATATGGATCTAATAATGTTTATGGATGAGTGAATACATTTATCTTTTTTAATATGACTGTGGTAAGCAGGTCGCGATTGCTTTCTTTTGATTGAATGCTTTTCAGATGAACCACACACACACAGACACACACACACACACATATAGCCTATACAAACTCTGCAGCTTTTCAATCCCTCTTGCTTTGAGATCCTTTATATTGAATGACCAACCAGCAGATCTCATGACGCATTGTATAATGAAAGCTGATTGGTCTTAATGGTTATCTCTGTATCTCTGACTAACTGATATGCAATTTTCATTTAGACTCCTTATGCCTTTAATGGCCATTTTGGACAACCAAATGGTTGATTTGGCACATAGGCCTAACGGTAAATTGTCACCCACCTTTTTGAGACTGGAAATTACAAAGCACTATTAAACCTTGGTTGTAATTCAAGTATGGAATAAAGACCTAAGTTTAGTTTTAAAGAAAACACTCAGCAGATTATTGCTGCTGAAGTAAAAGCACTTAAAAATAAAAGTATGAAAAATGGAAGTTTTACATTTACATTAAATCAAATATAACATTACAAAATATTCAGCCCATTCTCACCCCCAAGGCGTGAGAATGCGTTGAAATATTTCATTTTTTTCCCTATAAAATTAGGCCTACTATTCTAACATTATAAGGGCAACCCAGGAAACATTATGAAATGATAAAATAACCCCATGTCAGTCAGGGGACCTTTAAGATTGAGCCAGACAGAACATTAACCTGACCGTCAAGAACTTTTTGTCTCTCGAAATAAATTCTATAGGCTACTCATACATTGATAAATAGAAATGAATTGATACCTATACCGTTGCAAATCGTTTATAAATAATAAATGTCGCAGCATTGCTACACAACAATGTATATACTGCATACTCTACAGAGTCCTCACGATCGCGTTTTACCACTCTAATTTAAATCAGCTGTAAACTGTAGCCACAAGATGGCTCTCTAACACTATATTATAATAATAAAGCTTATCTGTTGTTTTGACCTAATCATAATATCTTCAAACTAATGCCCCACCCACAATTCTAATATCACTTAAAAAGGATTATATTTATTTGAAAAATTATAATGCAGAAAAATCAGCACATCATCAGGATAATAATGAGTCAGCAAGAGTGCAATGCAAATTGAAATATTCAATAAACAGTAACTGTTACCCCTCATATATCTCCACATTGAATGTGTCAGAAAATTAAAGACTTCTCACAGATGGATTTCTGTTGCAAACGTTGCACATGTAACCCATTATTCCCACTGAAGCACTGGCTCACTGCTAAAACTCATATTGAGGAGGCGGCATCATACGGTGATGCTAGGATAACAACGTTAGAAGGAGAACAGACCCACATACCATTTAAACAGATGGGCATTTCAATGGCACTTAATTTCGTTTTGGTCTGCCTACACTTTGTTTGTTTGAAGTCCACTGGAGCAGTCTTCTTGTAGACATATATTGAATTAAGGCAAATATCACGACTTTGACGCATATGAGCGGTCCTGAAACGATGTTACAGTACCTCCACTGCTCAAGGCCATTCCCAGATATTTCATCTCTCTCTTCAAGACTGTTTGGTAAACTATTCCCTCCAGAGTCTGTTAATGAAAGTCACAATGGGATTTGGGGGAGCATGAGAAATCTGGGGCCTTGGAAGAGAGGAATGCATTTCTATTTTCTTGTTTTTATGTAAAACCACCATATTACTTTATTACTATCCAGCAGGGCTACGAAATATTTGACATTTCACTTTACCTAACTTACCTAACTGTTACTTAAGTAATGGCTGCTGAAAATGCAGCTTTGCCATCACAAGAATAAATCACATTTTAAAATATATCCAAATATAATTTCAAAAACGAAAAATATTAATAGTACTTCACAGTATTACTATTTTTTATTGTATTTTCGATCCAATAAGTGCAGCCTTTGTGAGCATAAGATTCTTTTAAACTATTGAACCGTTGACTTTTTGTCAATACAATGGAAGTCATTGGGAACCAAAACTGTTTCGTTACCTACATTCTTCAATATATATATATATATATATTGGTGTGGATGTTACACAGAAGAAAGAAATACATACAGGTTCGAAACGACATGAGGGTGACGTTGAGTATGTTTTATGAATCTTTGGAGTTGTTAACTGCGGACTGGTGGGCTTTTAACGCAGGTTAAAAGGTTTATTTATGAACCCCTTTAGAAAAAATCAGTCTGAGGGCAGTCAATAAAAAACAATTCCCACTGGTTACTGATGTCACTCAACCAATTGGTTCCGTGATAGTTGAATGTATTCATTTATCAAATTGTTTCCTTATGTGCTCAGAGTTGGGATGAATGATATTCTTTAGGCTGTACATATAAGGCTCTTATGGCAAGAGCGATGGTCCTAGCTGTTCCAGGCCACTGCTGTCACTGTAGTAACACATGATATGTAGAGTTGGCTCAAACACCAGTTACGCAACTGAATTGGCCCAGGGCATAATGGAGACTGCAGCAGTACTGTTATTGTCGTGGTTGTTTAAAAGAGAACTTGATTCTGTGGATGTGTGTGGGTTGTGTATGGGTCTTTTTTACTGTAAATTTATACAGCATAAATACATCCATTAAAAACATAGATGCCATTTTGTTTTGTATTGGATGTACCGTTCATTCTTGAATGATATTTGTATTGTGTGACATCTAACAACACACAGTGTTGAAAACTGAGGCTTAATTTGACATTTAAGTCTTTATTTAAATTTCACTTGGCAAACAGTGTCACGAGGTGGCGTATACAAAGCACACAACGACTGAGAATCCAAAGAAACACTATTATAAAAGAAAACAAGTACTAGGAGAGCACAAAGAAACATAACCACTCTTCCAAACCATAAAAATTAAGGGGAACTCAGGGCTTAAACAGGGTAATCATTGTAAAAACCGAACAGGTGTGGGGAACAAATTAACAACCATAACAAACGAGTGGCGGGGAAATGAGAACAAATGAAACATGAACTAGAATTAAATGAAAACAAATCATATACAGTCAGAGTCAGAGCCTAACCCTTTTGTGTGTTCCTCTATTGTTTTTAATGTCACAATGTTGTGAGGCAATTAAAATGGACTTTTATGCCAGAAGAAGTACTTTGGAGTGGAATATAATTTATCTAGATTAAAAAAAAAAAAAGCTCTCTGAGTTTTTGTTTTAATTTTTGTTGTTTTTAAATAAGCCAAGGCCCTTTCCAGCAGATACAAATACACCTTTGGACTGGATCAGGACGTCATGACCCAAAACTGGTGACAAAGGTAAGTCAAAGTTGAGATAGTTTACCCAAAGTTGAAAATTATGTCATCATTTACTAATCCTCGAGTTGTTCCAAATCTGTGTGAATTCTTCTGCTGAAGACAAAAGATGATATTTTGAAGATACTGTTTTATAGGCCTACCCATATTCTTCAAAACATAATCTTTTCTATCCAGAAGACAAAAATCCATACAGGTTTGGTCTGGAACAGCTTTAGGGGAAATGACGACAGAATTTTCATTTTTGGGTGAACTATAGGCCTATCTTTAAAAATCTGATATGGCTGCTATGTTCGGACTGCAGGCAAATAGTTTATCTCTCTCAAATCAGATCATTCCAGGCAGACTCTAAACACTATTAATTGCGAGTGATCAAATATGATTTGTGTGTCTATACAACAAACTAATCTCCATAGGTTGCTTTGGAAACGACGTAGGCGTTCACACACGTGACGACGGAAAACCAGAGGTGCATCTCTCTCCAAATTAGCAAATCCTTCGTCACACAGGAAAATGCAGAAATCTTTGGACATAGCATTTGAACACATGAATACTTAATTTCAGCCATTTCCGACACCAGATTTGACCAAAGGTCTTGACGTTATAGGCTATTTGTGACGCAGAGTGACGCAAAAGACAGTTTTGAAATATGATTTGAGCAGCCAAACTGAGACGTATTTATCAAAATCTGACTGGAATCACATTTCAACCACCTTCAAATGTGGTTTCAATCAGATTCAGAAATTCTAATTCAGATTCAGAATCAGACAAAAAAATAAAAATAAATTTTTTTTATTGTTGTTGCTGTTTTTGCGGTCCAGACCAAACCCATCCACATCCAAATTGCTATCAGTCTGAACATGGCTGAGAAAATAACATTTAGAAAAAATTAAACAGACTAATGCTAAGCATATTTATTTTTAGAGCATTATTAGTCTTTAGAGATTAACGAAGTATGAAAAGAACCCAAAAACTGATTTTTACTGAGCATGTTAAAGAGATCTCAGTTGGTCTGAGGCATGCAGACACCAAGAAACAACACCAACAGGCTTTACAATGCAGGAAATCCAAACAAAGGCTTTTCAGCCTGTCAGATTCCATTCAATGTCCCACAAGATTATACACTATCAAAACCTATGAAATGGAAACATAATTGTGTATACCCAATATAAATAGACTTGTGAATATCTTGCAGTGAACTAACTATTCTTGTCCTGAATGTGATAACACATTCACCGACAACCCCCAGTAGGTTCACTGACGTCAATGTGCATTGCACACAAACAAAATGCTTTCTCTAATTTGAAAACTTCTGGAAAAAAATATAGGTGTTTTTTATCAGGCCACCTGAAAATAAAGTGTAGGCATACATGATAGGCCAAAAGAACGTATAAGCTCTATTGACGGCATATTTAAAGAAATACTTTTTGACATGTAACATAAAATAAACAGATATGCAATGTTAAGGAAGCACAAAAAAGCAAAAAAAATATATATATATATTCTTTGACATCATGTAGATTAGTTATAGATTAGTTTATAACGTTTGCCCATCATCAACCCAAGTTCCACCAAAGTGGTAGGCCTAACTACCAAAAGTCAACATGACTCCACTCTCTTTTAAACGTCAAAAAGCTGAACTTTTAACATGACACCGAATCTAATTTTAAACACTGCAATTATTCGCGAGATGCTGAAAACGTAGCGAAATGCAAGTGCAAAAAGTTTAAAAAA